TCAGATGTGTGGCTATCTTCTCTCTATGTGATTTTGGCCATTTTCCATTTTTTTTCCTCCTGGGGTCTTGGGTTCTACCTTGTAAGAATAAATCTGTACATATTTCCCTGCAGGAGAGTGAAGGTGCAGCTCAACACATGCCCCTCCCCTTTACTTCTGAGCACTGCATGCTGTTTGTGCTGGAACACAGCAAGAGGTAATCAGCTATTAGGTGCACAGAGCTGGTGGCATGCAGGGTGGTCACCATCACCTCTTCTCTCCCTGTCCTGCCTATAGGAGACTCTATACAGCTTGAGTTGAATTCAATTGTTCTATGACTGCAGTACCACATGGGCTTTCTCTAGAGATTAAGTGAAGATTTTGCAAGAAAGGAGCTTGCACTAAGGAAGAATTTAATAACTGGTAGAGATTTACTAACTAAAAGTATGAATGGCATCTGTCGTAGTTCTCTATGGACACCTCCAGACTTTGTTTCTCATGTCCTGTGTCAAAATCAAGCCACCCACACCATCTCTCTACTGCTCCCACATTGTCTCTATTCATCCACCACCGAGGAGTCTTCTCTCCTCTTCCCTGGGTTCTTGTCCACACAGCTGTTTCAATGACAAGTCTCTGCACTTTGCATTCTGGTTGGTAAATGCTGCACCCTCAGAGCTTTCACACGCATCCACAGATCCCTTCCATTTCCTGTTTGGAAGCCCCATCTCCTTATGTTGCTGCCTTTAGATGATCTTCCCACCCATTTCTTCAATCAGCCAAATCTAAGTCACATGAGTCTGGCAAATTGCAATTTACAGACACCCCTGCTGATGAGACTGGTGGCTCCTAACTCCACACTGTAGTCCATGGCCACTGCCATGGACTGGGTTTTCAGGGGAATCCTCTTCCCATTACCCAGACCATTGGGGGAATCTGTGTAACTACTGGGGATTCCTCTGTCCCAATACTCATTCCCACGACGACTCAGCCTAGGCTGAGAGTCAATATAGAATAGCAACCCCACTCCATCCCCCTACACTGTTGCCTGTGTGGGCAATGCAGTGTATGTGAGAGATGCAGACAGGCAGCTTAGGGTCTTCTGGCCACAAGCTTACCAACGGAGAGTAGACCAACTGCACCAAGCAGCACTAAGAGCATTGCTATTCATCTTCCCAGGCCTTGGTGTTAGTATTCAGGCATCTGTACTGGTCTGCCTTTGGAGTTCTGACAAGATACACCTTCAGCTGCTACCACTAAGAGCACCACCTGTGCCGATTCAATATGTTCCCCTTTTAAGAGGGCCCTGCACAGTTCCCATCCACCCTCTTTCTCTCTCTCTCTGTCTGTCCCCCCAACCCCTCTTTCCTCTCTCCCGCTGCTTCCATCCCTGGAGGCCTGGCTCTCCCTTTCCTCTTTTTATGATCCATTTCCTTTAATAAAAAAACCCTCTGCTTGAACGCTGTTGCATGGCATCTTTCTCTCTTGAGCCTTTTTTTTTTTTTTTTTTTTAAACAACACTTGGGACACGGTTTGTGTCCATGCACTGCATCCTGAAACTCTTCCAGCATAGCCCAGGACCTCCTCTCCCTTTGAGGGTTTGAAACATTTCAGTGATTGTCTATGGTGGTAACTGGGCTTCCTACCTAAAAGCTGCCTGTCCGGCCTGACGTGGAGTAAAGGTATTGCCACATTTCCCTTCCTTCCATCTATGATTTTGGGGAAGAAGCTTGTGCCTTTGCTCCATAGCCATGTTTACACTCATTTGATATTAAGTCCTGAAGATTTTTTTTTTCTTCACAGAAACTCTTCAAACCCTTCCTCCTTCCAGATTCCTGGTCACTCCCACCAAATATCTGCCCTCTGAAACCATGCTCTTGTATAAGACAACATATTGCATGTGGAGGAATTTAGCAACATTTATGGAAACAATGAGCATAAACCAACGGCATGCCTTCTCTTGTGCTCCTATTGGTTTTGACCATTGTGCAGTCGAGGAATCACCTGCTTTACAGAACTGAAATCAGCTTGATAGTGAGGCCGGGCATGTAGCTCAGTGGAGAGCAGTTGCCCAGCAAACATAAAGGCCTGGTGGTAGGTTCCATGTCCAGTAAAGCGAGACCCTCAAAGAAAACAAAGGGGGTGGGTGGGAGGTCAGCATGGTGGGCAGATTGTAGCTTGGACAGTTTCTACCCAAAGGACCTTTGCAACTGAACTCATCTGTGCTGACCAAACAGCTCTAAGCACCCTCACCTCACACCTTCCAGGCCCCTATGTCTAGTTCTAGCCAATGCTTTCTGAGTGGAGGTGACACGTGTCCCTTTCAGGCTGATGTGTTTAAGAGCCTCTGTGCTCCCTTTAGGATTTTCTCTTGCCTCGCCTTCTAGGAATAGCCTATCTATAATCTTTTTCCCCCCTATGGATCGCATATGGGCAGGTAGTAAACTTAGGTTGTGTGAAACAACTGAATTGTGTAGTGTTGTTGTTGCAGCAGCTAGCATCAACTACCCCGACTAACATTTTCTCACACTTTAGCCTAGGCTATACAGTAAGCATGCAGAAGTTTATCAATAACAAGAGCAGGCTATTTTCTACACATGGAAACACAATGGCAAAAACATACAAAAGCAAAATCAACCTTCTGTCTTTTGGGAGAGGAAACTTCATCTGTAATTTTGTGTGTGTGCAAATGGCTTGCATAAACCATGAAATAAATTTTTATTTATTCAGTTCAACCTACTTGATCAATGAGGTGCTGAATATCCTCCCTACTAGGCCCCATGTTCAGAACTGGGAGAGACTCTCGCTCTGTGTTAGCACAGAGCTGATTGTGACAGATATATAAGTAATGAGTTTAATGAGCTTAAGTTCAGACTCAGACTCCCTCCCCCACGAAATAATCACTTTCTTCCTGGTGCTGCTAACACCCACGTGAAAGGACCATCAAACCCACTGCCTTCTCATTGACACGTTGATGCACTTATGTCCCCTCAGCGGGGACTTACAGGTGCCCACAAGGCCAGTTTTGCCATTGTGTCCTCTGAGATCTGCAGGAAATGCTTCTCAGATTCATGAGCAGTGTCAAAAGGGGCTGGGGAGTTCAGTGCTATGAGCGTGCACTTGGGCTGTTTGGTTTGTGGGATCCTATGAAATGTGAAGATGTGAGGAAGCTTCAGACAAGATTTGTGCAAAGGGTGGTTGAGGTGGTGAGAGGGAATGTTCTGGGTGTCTGGGCCAGAGAATACTAAGCGGAGAGGGGGAAGAATGGGATGGGATAGCAGCCTTAGGAAGAGAGCGCAGGGAAGGAAGGAGTGGGTGTGGAAAGTCTCCTGGGTTGGACTGTCATGTCTGCTCACTAATCAAGCAGGGAATAGAGGACCATGGGAATTGTCTGGGTGGTGAGGCATGTAGGAGACTGAAGAGTGGGAACAGGTGGTAGGTAGGCTCACCAAGCTCATGCTCTGCTCACAGGAGCAGGTCATCCAGGGCAAAGGACCAAAACCAAGCTGAAGAAGTCTACAAGTGGTGGGGAAATGCCATCTTCTATTTGGTTGTCAGTGACTAGGAAGGAGGCAGAACTTGACAATGGTTAGAAACGAGAAGACATTTTCCAGGGGAGGAGGGCAGGAGCCCAGGGCAGCAGGAGTGGTGAAGGATGTGAGGTGAGGGATGAATCTACAGGGCAGGGTCCTAGACAGGGTCCAGAGCCTGGGTGGAAGGTGAGTTTAATGGAGCTACAGGAGAGATGCTCAGGGTGTGGAAGGAAAGGCTCCCACTGTGGGACAGGAGTGAAGGTGATGCAATGGGGTTGAGCCACTTGAGAGTGGATGGAGGTGTTTGGAAGGTTCAAAGCAGAAATTGTGATAGAATATGCGTTCAGCAGTGTTTGATGGGTGCCAGGAAGAGGTTAGTGAGCATGGGACACTTTGAGGAAATGTGAATACGATCTCAGTCTTTTTCTCTCCATCTAATAGTTAACATGGGTGTGACTAGCCATGCATCAATCCAGGTTTTGCATGGCCTCCCCATGACCAGTCCCTTCAACAGAGCATACTCTCTCAGCCTGTTTTTCTACCCTCTGGCTGTTTCTTCCTCCTCTCCTCCCAAATCAGGTTTATCATTGAGTCAGTGACCATGATATGATAGCCCTGCGACGACTGGATTCCCAAAGCAGAGTGCACCCTGGCACTTGGCCTCTACCCCTTTCTCAAAATGAAGATGAATTCATTGAATGGCTTCTTTACAGATCCACTCCAAGGGCTCCACAACCTCTTTACAACGTGTAAATTTGTTCCATCTCTCTTTACAGGGAGCTTGTTTCAGAGAATCAAAGCCACCTCTATACCCTTGCTGGCTGTTTTTGTTAAGTAAAAATTGAGTTCGTATACTATCAAGGATGCAAAGTCCCTATGATGCTTGAAATAATTATCTGCATTAGAAGCAAAATTCAGCTTCATCTTCAAAGGTGAAATGGTGTCATATGTTTATAGTTTACACTGTTATGATATCATATCCTGACAACTCTGAGTTTTAGGGTAGGTATACCAGATATTTTCATCACAAAAGCAGAAGAAAATCGTAATTTAATGATAATGGTAATGTTTTTACTCCTCACAGAGGCCCTGATTTAAAAAAAAAACACTTTAATGGAATTGGAAATACAATTGAAGTCACTCTCAATAAATGTCTCTGTCTATAACAAAATCCCACCCCATTCCCTACTCATGTATATGAAGGCAGAAGCGACTCTCCTGCTTACCAAAGCAAGCCATTTATGTTCTCCTTAAGTAATACGGTTCAAATTAGCCATCACCAGCCTGTCCTTATACGAGGGTCATTCTCTTTGGCTGCCGTGTGGGTCCTCCCCTGTCTTTTGATGCAGGGTCAACTTCTCTTATTCACACCTTTTATTTGGAACCAGGGCTGCCACGGTCATAATCGAGGCAGGACTGTGGTTCAGTCCTGGGAGTCCTTGAGGGTGCAAAGCCCCTCAGCCTCTCCTGTCCCTCTAACACCTTGCCTACCTGGAAGGCCCAGGATGGTGAAGTATGGCCGGCACTCGGTGAACCCCGAGCTCTGTTGCACGCAGCTCCTCCAGAGCCCTTCATACTGGAACACGGAGGTGACTGGGTTGTCGTACAGGTCCTGGGTGCTCCACATGTCCATTCCGGTGGCAGCTATGCAGCCGGCCAGACCCAGGAGGGCCAGGAGGAGCCCCACCACCTGGCACGTGGTGGTGGCCATGGCTTCAGCTGCTGGTCCCAGGCCTCCAAGAGCAAGCCACCACCCTCCTGCTGGGAAGCTGTGCGGCCTGGCTGGCCGAAGGGAGGTCTCCTAATCAGAAGCTCCCCTTCAGCGCAGTGTTTGCTCACACTGTTTTCCTTAGATAGTTCAGTTTCACTCCTGCTTCAAGGGCATACTTTTTCATTTGTTGGGGAAGCAGCCCCAAGAGGCACTTGTCTGGGTGAGCTTCACAGCCAGGGTGGTTGGAACGCCAAGCAGGCTGAGTGGACACAGAAGGACTCTCCTCTCGTCCAAGCCCTACAGGCTCTGCCTCTACCCAGAATGCACTATGAGAGTGTGAGGAGAGACCACTAAGTCTGATCTGAATTATAATGAAACAACCCTGGGATGCACCCATTTGGCTCTATCCTAAGTCAGATGCTCATGCATTCTCCTCTTACTCAGTGTTCTGATCTCAGATGGAGAGGACGGCTGGTATTACTTCATTTGTAAAGAGGAGAGCTTCAGTGTAGTACTCCCTCTGTGGTTGTATAGATGCACGCTTGACTGACAGGGATTGGGACCACCTGAGGAGACAGGCTCCAGCTGGATCTTGCTATCCCTCATAAAACAGAAAATATAGAAATAAGAGAGAGAGAGAGAGAAAGAGAGAGAGAGAGAGAGAGAGAGAGAGAGAGAGAGAGAGAGAGAGAGAGAGCGCCAGGGGCTGGCCTGAATCTCTGACCTGGCCACGGAGAGGCTGAGGACCTCGCTCCCCACACTGCCCCCAGCTCTGTGTTTGGTGATTTGGCCTTTGTAGGTCACTTTCTTCATTCGGAGCATGACAGGGAACTATAGAGAACATTCTAGAGCCCTTTCTGATGTTAATAGCTTCCACGTGTTGTAGAAAATTTTCACTACAGTGGGTGAATTATCGTCAAGCAGAGAAAAGCCTGACGGAGGAGGTCAAGGCTGGGCTCTTGCTTCACAGAGACATTTTGTTGGAGAATTTTTCAGCCTGTTGCCTACGTGGGTCCTGAATGCTTGCTTGGCCTCTGAATTCAGAGATGTTTTTAATTAGAACTTCTCAGAGTCCTGAAACACATGCACAGATACCCCAATCTCTCTCTCTCTCTCTCTCTCTCTCTCTCTCTCTCTCTCTCTCTCACACACACACACGCACACACACACACACACACACACACACAATCACATCCCTGCTCCCAGTCTCTAGCTATGGCAAGTTCTCCAAGAAGCCAGCCCGTATTTCAAGGATATCTTGGATACACTCAGCCCTGGTTCCCAAGGCTTTACCACCATAAACACAGAGGTGGTTAATGTGGATGGTCACCCCCCAGAAGTAGTTAGTGTGGATAGTCATCCCCTAATGTGAATGGAGGCAACCTTGCTTGACTGCATACCACTTCCTGTGGTCACTATTCTATTTATAGAGAATGGAGTGTGAACCAGACAAACCCCAGTCAGGGAATAAGCCAGATTTATATGACAAAGAACATGTACTGATTGCTGAGTGACCCTGAGCTGAGCTACTAGGTCAAGTCAACTATGAATGATACTGGTTTCTGCTGGTAGACCAAGACTGATCAATTGGATAGCATAATGCTGGCGGAAAATTCCAGAATTATTCTGGCATTGCTTCTGGGGGCATTGTTAGTCTCGGTTCCACCAGAGGGCACATTTGTCATTCCCACAGAGCTCCATGAATTTGGTTTTCAGCTATCTGGTTTATTACTCTCTCCTCACAAACATTGGATGTAATGCTACCAAAGCAACAAGTTGAAAACAAACAAACAAATAAAAAATAGATTATATATTCTCATTTGTGGCAGTTTCTCTATGATGTTTTACAGTAAGTTTCAAAGTCAGGGGAAAAAATAAACTGTCATATGCTTTCTTTCTAATTTGAAATGTGGCCATGAAATTATTATTTTGAAAAGAAAAAAAAATAAGTTTTAGTGGTAAACTAAAGCTAACTCTACCCACACAGAATTCTGAATGAAAAGAGAGGAATTACATATCTACACACTTCAGGGGATGTGTTTAAAACACACAGAGGTGGATTTTTTACTTTCTGCAGTGGTTTCTATGTAAACAAGTAGCCACAGCGTTAGCCATCTCTGTCAGAGAGTGAATGGCTGCCCATGGAGGAAAGTCTGATTCCTTGTTTGTGGCAACAGGTGCTGGTAAACGGATCGTGTATCCCTGTGTTAACCCATGGCCCGATTCTGTTTACAATAATAGCTTTGGTACAACTCTGTTTAATAACCTCTAGAACGGAGCAAGGTGTTTCTCTGATGTCCTCAGGGAAAATCCCGGTGTTCAGTTTAAACACAGCTCCCTGCCACTTCAGCCTGTGGGGTTCTAGGAGTTGCTGCCATTTTGCTGACACTATAGAAATTACCTTTCCAGTTTTCTTAACCTTTTCAGCCACAACAGCAACTGAGTAACACGGCAAGAATGGTGACCCAAAGAGCAATGAAAATATTATAGGTAGGTATTAGTTGAACTTGCTAGAAGGAGAATTGAAATATTTATTAATTTCAAAAAGCTACCACATTGAATATTCCTAATGATTCTGAAATTGTAAAAGATTTGGTGGCATTTTAACAAATCACTCATACTTTAAGACTCTAGACAAATTATTTTCACTCATATAGATAAATTCTAGACAAACTTTTTCTTACATGGTCATGGTCAAGAAATTATACGTGTGATAATTTGCTCTTCCCACTTCGTTTTGTTTTTGTCATCAAACTCTTGGAAGAATAACTTAAATAAATTACTAGTCCTTTTTGTAAAAGTACTATCATTCACATAAAGACTTTCTGTTCTGATATATTGTTTAGCACTTATACTTTAAAAAAATATTTTTGTGGTGTGTGTGTGTGTGTGTGTGTGTGTGTGTGTGTGTGTATGTGTGTGTGTGTGTTTATGGTGTCCTTCTGGTCGTCAGAGGACAACTTACAGGAGTCAATTCTCTCCTTCCAACTTGAGACCCAGGACTTGAACTCGGCTCTGCAATACTCGCATAGTAAGCACTTTTACCCTCTGAGCCATGCTACTGGCCCTGAGGCCCTGAACATTTCGGTTTTGTTTTTTCTTTTGAAAAACTAAAGAAGTTTATGGGTTTGGTGTGATGGGGAACGCTTTTAAGTGGGGGTAGGTGTAGAGACAGGTGCTCTGTGAGTTCAAGACCAGTATGGTTTACAAAGCAAGTTCTAAGCCAGTCAGAGTCACACAGTGAGACCCTGTCTCAAAAACCTCACAACAAGAACATTCACTAAAAACTCATGAAGCATTGTTTTTTCTTTCTTGAACTGGCAGTCTGCACTGTTTATTAATCTATTTGCTAGCACTTTAACATCTTCTACCATCAATTTGTGTGAATTTCTTGTTAATTATAGTAGTACATTGCAGTAAGTACAGCAAACATGCTTTTGAATGGTTATTGGGTTTTTAGCTGCATTTGTAATTTTGAAAAAAAATACAATGTGCTCCATTTTATGCGTTTTCCAGTATCTGGCACATAAAATGCACTCAATAAGTATTTGTTGAATGATGTAGTCAAATGAATTTACTTTTCCTTTATACTTTTCAACATTGTTTTCATCCTTAGAGAAATATTTTCAATATAGGAGGTAAAAACATTATAAATTATTTTGTAATTAAAATGTTTATCAAGTAGTTAATATATTTTTCTTCCCATAAAACCCACTCAGTAATTTCTGCAGCATTTTTTGAATAGCCTTCCTTTCCTCCTGAACCTCACATTAAAACCACATTTGTGTCTTTCTGATTTTAGACTTTCTTTCATTAGTTTGCTCATCTTAGTGGCAAGGCACAGCTTTACTTATCAAGGTGTTAAAATTGGGTTGACTATCTGATAGAGTTAGGCCCATCCTCATTCATTATTCTTAAACAAAAACAGCTAAACATTTCTCATTTGCATCTTCTTATTGATAAGCACATTATTGAAGATATTAAAGTATAAGCCAGTTAACGAATATATAGTAAGATAAAATGTATACTGGTATATATTGATTTCTTAAAAATTAAAAATAATGCCCAGCACACGAGAAGAACTGGAACATCCACTCTTGTTATATACTGTTAATTGAAGGCAAAAAAAAAAAAAAAAAAAAAAAAAAAAAAAAAAGTTTTGTAACGTTCTCACCAGGAATCTGAAGAACTTAAGAAATGTCTCTTGTCAAGACTTTTTCTACTCTTTCCACTTGACTCTTGTCACCTGTTCATAGGTGTTACTCGCTAAATATTACTGCCTATCACTACGCCGTGTGGCACCCTCCTTCCCTAACCCCTATCACACAGAGCCTGGTTCAGTCCATTGCCCACTCCACACTGTCTTTTGTCAGATAGGGGTCTCTGTCTGGAAAACCCTTTTCCTCTCTGTCTTCTTTTGTTCCTTCCTTTCAGAAATGAATTGTCTTTAATGTGTCCCCACGAAATAGCTCACTAAAGGTATGACTATAATGCCGACAAACAAAGGATAAAAAGGACCACTAAAACAGTTGTATGTTAAGCATTTTAGATAGTCATTTTTCATTAATTTATTCTTTGACATTTTCATATATATGAGGCAAGCAGATCTCCATGACTTTGAGGCTAGTCTGGTCTACACTGGGGTTCCCAGATCAGCCAAGGCTACATAGTGAGATCCTGTTTCAAAAAACCAAACAACAACAACAATAATTAATTGCATTCTGTTTACTCTCACTGTCTCCATCCCTGTCATCACCTCCTATAAGCTCCTTTGCTACTTGGATGCCTTTGTTTTGTTTTGTGCCCTTTAACTCCAGTAGCTCATGTACATATCTTTTCTCTGTTGCTTTGTACGAGTCACTTACTATACACTATGGTTCCTTGCCAGTGACAATCCCTCACCCCCAAGGCTACTGAGAAATGTCAGGGAACATTTTTGGTAGTGGCAAATAGACTTAGGAGACAATGCTATTTCCACCTAATGCACATACCCGACTGCAGCGATCAGAGACAGAAAAAGAGTAAAGAACTTTATCCATCTAGTTCCAGAAACAACTGTGTTGATGAAGCCATTGGAGCTAATATCCTAAAACTCACAGGATAACCCTCAAGAGAAATACGTCCTCATAGGTGTTG